TGGCATGCTCATGGCTACTGTAGTCTCGACCAGCTGGGCTCAGGTAATCCTTCTACCTCAACCTTCCAAGGAGCCGGAACTACAGGCATGTGCCACCACACCCAGCTAATTTTTTTATTTTATTGCAGAGATGACTTCTTGCCACGTTATCCAGGCTGATCTCGAACCCATGGACCCAGGCAATCCTCTCACTTCAGCCTCCCAAAGTTCTGGGAGTACAGGCAGGCGTGAGCCATCGCGCCTGGCCGAATTACAGATTTTTTAAAAAGTATAGTTGGACTTTCTAGGAAGTTAAAGTAAGTCCCCTATGTATGAAACTTCAAGTTTCGAATGTTAACAATGCACACGTGTTTTTTAATGTAGTATTTCTCTCCACCGACTGCCAGTATAGCCTACTAAATACATATAGTACCATATAGCCAATTGTGTTAGTTGGGTACCTTGATTAACTATGTTGGATTTACAACAAATGGACTTATGAATATGCTCTCAGAACTGAACTTGTTTGCATGTTAGGAACTTTCTGCATTATTAATTTTGGGGTTTTTCTTTTTTTGGAGTCAAGGTCTCACTCTGTCACTCAGGTTGGGCCGTTGCATGATCTCAGCTCAATGCAGCCTCAACCTAGAGGGCTCAGGCAATCCTTTCACCTCAGCCTTCCTAGTAGCTGGGACTACAGGCATGCACCACTATACCTGACTAATTTTCTTATTTTTGCAGAGATGAGGTCTCAGTATATTGCCCAGACTGATCTTGAACCCCTGGGCTCAAGCGATCCTCCTACCTTGGCCAACCAAAATGCTAGGATTACGTGCATGAGCCATTGTGCCTGGCTGACAGTGATTTCTCGTGTCGTTTTTGTAGAACTCTACCACATTTCCTAGATGAGACTGGGGTGAAGGAGGTATAACCCTTTATTTATTCTGAACAAAGAATTATACATCACAGCATGATAACTGGTATAATATTCACTGACTAAAAATAATGTCGCCAGGCTCGGTGGCTCAGCCTGTAATCCCGTGCCTTTGGGAGA